TCCAAAAAGTAGTTGTTGTGATCTTATACATGTCGCTTACAAATACGAGCATTTTTATATTTCTATGTTAGAAGCTTGAGTCGTATTTCTTCAATATTTTGTTTTTCTTGCATAATTTGAAATTTCACTTTGAAACAAGAAGCATTTTTGCACTTCACATTCTAGAGGCTCTAATCCACAGAGATTAGCAGAGATAGTGTAGGAAAATTAACATCAAACAGTGTGTGTAAATCCCCCCTAACACTCTGTAAAGAAGAGTTGGTTACATAAAACACAGAAGCCTAAAAAGTATCAAAGGACGTTCTACTAGGATTTAGATGTAAATACAACCTTCTGAATCCTGATGCCTATACGTCTTTTCTGGAATATAATTCTTCAGTCAGATGTAAATACCCCAGATGCAAAGCATATTAGAATATCATGCATCACTTTTCATCGGATTAAACTATATCACACTTATTACTAAATATGTAAAGGGAAGTGATTCATCAGATTGCAATATGTAAACCAGTGTAGCAGTATGCATCTGCATCCCTTTGATTAAAGCAACTATAAGTTTGTATAGACCACTGAAAAAGTGATTCACAGTCTGTTATTGACTGTCGGACCACTACAGCTAGAATATCGACTGATGCATGTTTGTGATCCTGAGCTCATTATTTGCTATCTGCAGATCTCTTATAGCAAGAGCATGTTTAGAAGCAGTAACAAGTAAAATAACTTTTATTTCTATGTGTAATATTTAATATTATTATGCAGGCATTATACAGTTCAGGTAGAAATCCCATCCTTAGGCTGTACATACATATTTGGTGTGCATTCACTGCGTGCGGATACACTGAGAGCATCATATGCCACCGATGAGCGCTATACGGTGGTCATAGTGTTTCCCTATAACTCTGTCTGGAACCTGCATTCCTCTCATTGCCAGTGTGTGATGAGTGCAGCCTTTCAGCTAATCTGGGAAGAATGTTGGCCTCAGTCGCACATGTGTTCCATTAAGACCAGATCTGTGTAAATAATATAACATGCAACAGCTAGCATTACAGCAGGTAACTATAACCCCACAGCTGCGCCTTTTGGCTTTACGGTGCCCTAACAGCCCAGCATATAAAAAGGCAGAGCCTATCTTGATTTTTATTGAGAAAATATATGGCAGCGCCCTATGTGCTTTTAGCAAGAAGTTGATTCAAGGAAATTTTGCTGTTAAAGTAATTATGGTTTGTTAGAGAAAAGAGCTTTTCTTTTTGGGTAGCTGTATAAATATTTTTTCTGTGGAAAGGTAAAAATATTTTTAAGTTATCTAACACCTACATGAAGATGGACTGATCAAAACTTTGTGTACAATTTCCAGTCTTCAGTTTTTGTAAAGCTGAAGATTTACAAAAACTGCTGATACCAATTTGAGACAATTCCCGTTTCCTATTAAGAACAATAAGAAGCGTTATAGAAATGTCTTCCTTTAAAATAGTTTCATAAATTTCTGTGTTTTCTTTCGCATCCTTCTTAAACACTTCACCGAGAATTACATTTGCTAACTTTGAGTCACCTTTACTCAGTAAAGATTTCACACTAATTAACGTAGTGGCTCTTGCAACTGTAGCTATTTAGTTTGTTGAGTTCACTGATGGGCGAAAGAAAATTTTCACTTTCTGATAAGCTAAAAATAAAATGATTGTAGTTATCAGCTGATTTCTCTGTACATGTCTACATCTAAACAACACATTTTTCTTGGAAACTTAATATGAAGACAGTTTTACAGTAAAAATATAAATAAATAACTGAAAAACCTAAGGCAAACATAGCCATTATTTGCGAATTTATATCAATAGAGTAATGAAAACAATATGTGTGAAATATGGCCACGCAAAATAAACTCTTGGATAAATAATTTATTTGAAATCTTTCATTTTCTTTACATAAACAAATGGAGAATTTAATTTTTTATACAAAATTAAAATCTTTCATTCGTTCATCTGATGGAATTATTCTGTGCATCAGAATAACTGCTGTCATGTAAACGTTTGCTAAGCCATAAAATATTGTCACATGGCTGGGGTCTGGCAGCAATGTGTATCCATCCCTCCATTGTTAACAGCCTCTGTGTTCAGACAACTCTGATTGGCTCCTTGTGTTTATTGTCTAATTGACTCGGCCTCCGCCGGGTCGGAGGACGATTGTTTGCTTTCACCGTCTGCCTGGGGAAGTCCCTCTTCGTCTCATACAGGCCCAGTTACAGTATGTAACACAAAGTTCAGAGGATGCCCGCACCTTCCTGGTGTGGTGCTGCATCTTCCTGTCACAGATCACTAATGCTTGTCAGAAAAGCAGGTCAGTTATTTATTCATGTGTAGATTTACTTCTACACTTAGAGCAACAGGTGAACTCTCAGAGCTACTCTATTTTGGTTAGAGCCATATTGGGGGTGTGCTAGCCTAAGAAAAGAAAGAGGGGATAGATGGAGTATGATGTCGAGTGAAGATGGCAAACGACTTAGAGCCGCGGTTTGGCAAGATTATTACAGAAACAGTAAAAAAAAAAAGTCAGCCAAAAAACTGAAAGAGAGGTAGCACACAGGGCGAGAGCCACTGAAGTGAGGCCTCAAAAACAAAAGAAAGCGTCAGAGAACAAGTGTTCCAAACAGTGCTTCTTGCACTTGTGAACTGTTGTGAGCCAGTGAGGAAATGTAAGGGAGTTTGGCCATTGCTGTTCTGGTTGCCAGGACTCTAATGAGTCTGTCAGGGCCAGTTAGCACAACCAGGCCTGCTTGTGTCTCCTCCAGGCCACAGACAGCTGTTATTAGCCCTGTAATGCAGCATGCCACAGGGCTAGATTAGGCTGGCACACTGGAAAAATATCAAACATTCACTCACTGTGGCCTCTGTTGGTGAAAGTGGCTATTCTGTGAGGCGTTCATTTAGCCGTCTCTGACCAGGTAACTAACAAGGCTCCAAAAGGAAACAGTGAAGCCAAGAGATTGGCTACAATATATCCCGTTCAAAGCTCTAAATGTGCATCAGATAGTTTGATTTTTTTAGTTTCAACATAAGACTAATAATACATTCAGGGAAAACAGCCATTAGTTAAAAAAAACAACAAAAAAAAACAGCTTTACTACTTTTACTTAATTGCTTGTAGGAACCTTGCAGGGTTGTATCTAATAATGCTGTGTCATCATTATGCAACCCATATCACTGCTGCTTGCTCATGTGTTTTTCACTTCATAATGAACATAGGAAATCAAAATGGGGCACAATGCATGCACTTTGTGTTATAACCTACACAGGGAAACGCTGGAGTGGGCCAGTAAAGTTTTATTTTTTTGGAACTCAGCTAACATATAGTCATCACTTAACAAAGGAACTATTACAAAAATATTTTCAATGAAACATAATTAATAAAGTCACAAATAAATAATTAGATCTACATTAAATTAATTTTTTTTAAAAAAAAGGCCTGATCCTAGCTATTTCACAAATCTAAAGATACATATAAAAACAAATGTGTGCAACTTTTCAAAATCTAAACTGAAGTCAGTTAACTAATGTGCAGAGAATACTAATTATGCTCTACAAATTATAATCGTACTTGCTGTGTTATGAACTTCTTTTGTACATGGTATGTTACCCGACCCTTTACCTGCATTACTGTGTGGCTTTGTGGTAATCATTTTACATTAGACTCTTTATACGCTATCTACATCTGTGGGTTTTTGTCATTTCACTTTAAAAGCTGCATCCTGTCATACTTTCTTTTGTACAGTAGAGGTGCCTAAGCGTGTGTCACGTGACTGATCAGAAGTGAAAGGCAAGGTCAAAAACAGCCAGCTCAAAGCTGTTTGTCTCACTTAGCTGTTAAAAATGTGTGAACACGTTTCATTTATTTGAAATATGAAAATGTGTTCAGTTTCTTGTGGTTTTTGTGTCCAAAAAACTGGGTGTGTTTTGTGAAGTGAGAAAGTGAATCTTTTAAAAAGGGGAGAGCAGAAATTATGCATGTATGACTTAAAATAAAAATTAAAACATTGCTCTAAATGAATTACCTGTTTTTTTTTTTTTTTTTTTTGTGCACTTTATTTCCCAATTTGTTTTGATCAGCAGCGGAAAACAGCTTTTCAGTGTTTGTTTTAACCCAGCAGCAAACGGAAGCTAAAACTGTCCCCTGAGAGGAAAAGAAACGTCTAATTTTTTGTCAATTAACGTACATGAAAGGACACTGATGTTCTGCAAATCAGGTGAAAGCAGTTGAAAAGGAGTGAAGAGCAATGATAATGTGAGAATAACAGAATATCAAGGAGTCTCGGAGGTGCAGTGAGGTGCTCATATTTGAGAGGGAAGTGAGGAGCGAGATAATGACAAAGAGACGTGATAAAGGAGGTGAGATTTGAAGTGAATCCTGGGAGGTGCTCATGCTGTGGCTGTGGTCCTCGCTGTCAACCCCGCTGAGCCAACCACATCTTTTCCTAGCAGGAAACATTGTTTTTTTTTTTTTTTTTTTTTTTTTTCAAAATCATTAGCTTTCCAACAAGTGAGGGCCTTTTGCCCCATTTTTTTAGGTTGAGTTTTATGGCAGAAATTCCACATGTGGAAGGGCAGGGAGGAGCCAGAAGAACTAAAACCCCCTTCACTCTAATTATGGGCTGTGCAATATATAGAAACTATAGTTGAGCCCAGCTACCAAAAACACAACAGCTCAGTGAAATTAGTGCCGCTGCGTGGGCTGAACGTATGCACTTATTATGCATGGTAGATCACCATGATCTGAGTGGATTTAGCATAGCCAACGTGGAGGCTTTTGGACTTGGTGGAAATCTAAGAAGCAAACTCTTCATAAACAACTAATAGGACTGAGCTGTGAGATTTCATCATACCTAGTTTGATAAAAAAAAGAAGAAAACTGTCTGACTTTGAAAATAAAAATAGTTTAATAATAATTTTTTTAGATTCTGCTTAAAAAATTCAGAAAATGTACTAAAAATTGTTCATTTTCTGCTTCTACAGAACAGATACGCTGCTGCAGACAGAGGCGTGAGGCTCTACAGTTCCCTGCCCATGCGCCCAAACCCTGATGGCAAGAGGCTGCCCTCTACTGGGGTATGATTCATCTTTCTCACCCCTCCACCACACCTCTGCACCTTCACCCATTGGTCTCATGTTAACATAAATATCACCTAAAGCAGCACAATGGTCCTAGCCATTTAAAAGGTTGTGCTGTGCTTAAAAAGTGTGAATAAATGTATTGAAAGTTTTAATTTGGAAATCTTGATCTTGGATCCAAACAGAAAACAACACAAAAACTTTTCATATTTTGCTATGTTACGCGCACAAAATTAATATACTGGAATTTGATGCGATAGACCAATACAAAGTAGTGCATACTTATGAATTGTAAGGAAAATGATAGATTTTATACACATAAAATTTTCAGCTACCCATAACCAATACTTTGTAGAACCACCTTTTACTGCAATTATAGCGACAAGTCTTTACATGTCTCTGACCTCCAGGGCATATATATAGAGACAAACATTTTAGGCCATTCTTCTTTTCTGGATAGCTCCGGCTCACGTAGACTGAACAAAAAGCATCTGCGAACATCAATTTTCAAGCATTGTCAAAGAGGGATTTTCTTTGCTAGAGACAATAAAGCCGATCAGAGTTGATGAGAAGATTGAGTGAGCAAAATATATGGAAATCCTGTAATAAAAATGTGAAGGCTAAAAAAAAAGACCTTTGTGACAGGAGTAGGGATTTACAGGATAATTACCCTAAGCATAAAACCAGAGCCACAACTGAATGGTTTTGAACAAAGCCCAAAATGGCACAATCAAAACTTGAACATTGCTGTCTTCCGATGGGACCCATCCAGTCTGACTACTCTTACGTTTTGTTTCTGTTTTCTTCTGTGCAAAATAATTGGTAAAAGAAAAAATCAGTCTGGAGATTCTGGAAGAGACATACCCCAAAATGACAGCTGTAATTTAAACAAAATGTGGTTTACAAAGTATTGACTGAAAAGGGCTGAAAAAGAAATACATCCCATATTTCTTTCTGCATAAAAAAAAACAAAAAAAAAAACAATTGCACAATTATGCACTACTTAGAGTTGGTTTATCACATAAAATCCCAAAATGTTTGTGGTTGGTTAAAAATGTCTAAGAGGAATGATTACTTGAGGCTTTTGATATTTGGATATTCCTTATCTTGCAGCAGGGTAGTCCCTGTTACTACGCTCCCATTCCCCCTGAATGGTCTTCTCTGTGTCATGTCACCACGTCATAACTGCAGTGTCTAATTAATTCCAATGTACTTGATAGTTTGTATTGTAAAGTTTCAAAAAAGACCTTTTTTGGTGGATGGTGAACTGCATCACTCACAATATAAAAGGATGGAAGAGCTTTCTGAATAAAATTCTGTTACCTCAAACCTGTTTGTTGCACAAATTCTAAGGACAGGTGAATGTAGATAAAGCATAATTCTTTTTTTCATAATTTCTGGTGTTTTGCAAAGTATTTGTGTTATAACAGCACGATTTGAACATCAAAGTCTCAATTTCGGTTATTCTAATACCTAAGCATTCACAAGGATACTAGAAAAAAATGATTAAGTTTATTGAAGTTGCTGCACTTGCAACTCTTTGACTTTGACAAAGTGCTGCAGTAGTCAGCCTACTTTGTTTGTGAAACCTCTCTTTCATTTTTTTAAAATATGTAAAAAAAAAAAAAATCTTTTAGCGTTGTAAAAAAAAATCATAATTAGAATCTAGCTCGCCTTGCTTTTATGCATTTATGTAACAAAGGAGAGAAAATGAAAGAACAATAGAGCAAAAAGAGAGAATTTAATTTCCTCCGTTTTTTTTTTCATGTTTAACTCCATGCAAGTGCTTTTTGAATTATCTCCTGGGTGCTCCAGGGCTCAGCAAGAGGATGAGTGGGTGAGTCAAGGGGAGAGGGAGTGAAAGAGAGAGAGAGAGAAAGAGGGAGAGAGAGAGGAGACAGGCAAAGTTAAAATAAAGCAATATAATATTGTTGGTGTGCACCTTTTTTAATTACAACCGAGATTATATTGATGTCTCTGGCCACATGTCCTAAATCATTTATCAAGAGAGAGAGATTGCTAACAAAGCATTTCCAAGAAAGCCACCCTCTCACAGGGGCTGGAATCATATGTTATCTAAAGTGAATATTGTTAATGCTTTTCAGTGAAGAGACCTACTTACAAATCATGGGAATGAGCTCCTTGTCAGGGTATGCGTGAGGCTGTGAAGATATAAATCTACCCTGGTCTGATACACTCTTGTGCAAATTGCACTGCATCTAAAACTGAATGTAGGAGCTGTTTGTGAAATGAACTTATTGGTTAAGAAAAAAAAAATGCAACAAACACGCCTAAATTGTCTGCTTTACAGTTCAGAAGCAACTTAAAGATTACATCTTTTGTGCAGATTTGCAAAAGGAGACAATGTGTGCTATTTTCTTCCTCACACCCCCCTTTGGTTATCTGTCATTTCCTTTTGTCTGTTATTACCTGTGTGTAAGAGTCTGTACAGTAGCACACTGTAGCTACAGGGCTGTATGGAGAGGAGGAGAATATAAACCACTTAACATGCAGGAGGAAACCAGACGTTTTTCCATTGCACTTATCAGGTGCTGCGGTAAGAGCAAGTGTCAAGGTGCAGTAGGTCCCTGCCCCCCCTCACCCCCCACCGCCCTCCTCACCCTTCCTTTCCTCCCCCCCCCCCCCCCCCCCCCCTGCACACCCCTTTTATTTTCCCTGATTTCTATCTCTGTAACCCCCTCCCCTCTCTTCATCTCCACCACTCACTACATTCAGTTCAGTTAAAAGTGGGCTTGGCACTTCCGCAGCAGCTAACTTCCCCCCCACCCCCCCCACCACCAACACCACTTCTTCTCTCTCTGTCAAACTAACCTCTAACTCCTGCTTTTCACCTCTGTGTTTCCTGTCAAGGTGCACTGCCCACCTCCATATAACCCAACCCCCCCCCACCCCACCCCCCTACCTCCGGCTCTGCCCCCGCAACCTTTGCTTTTCTCTCTTTTAACATCTATTACAGCGCTAAGTGTCTATGGTTTACTTTCTAAAATGTTCAGTGCAGAGGCCATGATCTCCACGGCTCTGCTGTGGTCCGTGCAGAGAGGGAGTTGTTCTGCTGTATGAGTGGCTTTGGATTCAAGTCTTTATCAGAGTAGAAACATTTCAGACTAATAAGTGTGCAATACTTTACACACAATGTTTACTAGCTATGGGTCGGTTACCAAGTGTGAAGGTGTTGCAAGACTTTAAAAGTGAAGTTTCTGTCAAACTATTCCTGTTTAAATTTCTTTAAATGAGATCCCAGAGGAAGTGTCAAGGTGACTGACTGCTGGATCCAGGAGAGCAACTATGGGCCTGCCCTACCTGCTTCAGTGGCTTCTAAACCTTTATTTTGCTTATAAAAAAAGATAAAAATCCATTGTTTGGACTTATTTCCAGTTGCAAAAGCATAATTTTAAAACTACAATTACCAAGTTACCAGCAGCATGACTGATAAGCATTCAACTGCAGGGTCTTGACTGTTTAATAAGCCTGTTATAATTTTTAGTTTTATTCAGTAAAAAACATCTACTACATTTAGTGATTTTTACTCTTCAAACTTATTCTTACTCCATGAAATATTATTATAATGTAAAAATATGTAAGTCCAAGCACAACTAAACTAACAGTTTTGAAATAATGACATAAATGTTTGCACATTCTTCTTTGCAAACTAATTGAAGTTTGGGTAGATTGGGTAGATTAGGATTTTTTTAGGCCTCAGCAAATATTAAGACCTGGACTTTGACTGAGTCATTTTAACAAATAAATGTGTGGATATAAATCCCCCCATTGTATCTCTGGCTGTATGAGTGGGACATTGTCCTGCTAGAAGTTAAATCACTTCAGCAATCTTAAGTCTTTTGTGAATCTCATCAACTTCGAAAAGCTCATTTTGACTTTCCAGAAGAAGCGCATTCCCACAGCATGATGCTGCCTCTGCCATGTTGCACAGTGGAGATGGGCATCACTCAGCATCAGTTTGTAATTTTGTACTACATTGCTTTGAATTGTCATAGTAATTAAATAAATACATTGTGGAAAGTGGTTGCAATTTGTGTAGCCGGTGACACATCAAGAGATGTTCACGCTTTTTGGGCACTGTAGATACAAAGCACATTAATTTGCACATTTATTTGCAAAGTTGAATTAAAAGTAATTCAACTTTGCAGAGTTAGGAAGGTGTCATAGCACCATATATGGTCTGTGCAAGTGTTTGGATTCTTTCTTAATCACAGAAGCACAAGAGTTTTAAATGGTAAAGTCTCAACACAAAGTTGGTTTAAACTCCAGATGATGCAATGGGGCGTCTGAGGTGATGAAACTAATTATTAAACATCCCTGATGGGGGAGGGAGGATTTTACGTTACCTGATTGTGGATTCTTTGTAGGAAACCAAATTGTTTGAACTGCTTCTCTAGCTGTTCCTGTTGTTGTTTAGTTCTCCTGCCTTGACTGTAGCACAGAAGGGTGAAGGTTCAAAATCTGCTGGAACACAAAGATGACAGCATCGTTTCAGAACTGTTTTGTTTTTTTTTTTTTTTACATCTCTCTCTCTCTATCCATGCTGCTTTGTCTCTCTCCATGTCTTTTTCTCTTTCTCCAAGCTGATTTGGAGCCTTGCATAGTCAATTATGTAGGGAGTCAGAGTCGGAGAGGGGGCTTGAGCTTCCATATTTTGGTGTGATATTAATATTGCATGAGCGCTATTCTGTAGCGGTATCTAAGACAGTGCCTATTAAGGCGGCAGAAGGAGAAGAATGTGACAGACACAAACACACACTCACAAAAAGAGCCTGAGAGCAGGGGTGAATCAGTCGGGATCAGGCGCAGGTTGTTCTAATTAGTGTTTTCCTGATTTAATATGGAGGAGTATTAAGAGCAACTCATTTTCTTGTTTAATATGTCATGTTTGTTTACCCTAACGTGACTCGCGTCATTCTGTAGAGCTTTTGTGTTTGATGTTAGTGGGAATTGACTGATGTTCACTGCATCTGTGC